TTTACAAATGCAGGAGTTCTCTAGCTATTTTTTTTTCTCAGTCTTTGGATTATACAAACAAAGACAGTTTTTATTTTAATACTATGCCATAACTTAACATATATGTATTATACTACTATTTCTAAATTTCATCAATAACAGAAATAAAGAAAACTATATTAATACAACAAAATTTCTCATTCTTATACACATAACATTCATCTTAATATTTGTGAAAAGCCAATAACATAAAATGTATCTATAACACAGTCATGCTTTAGCTTTCCTAACTTCATCACTGTATGCTTGAACAATGTTTCTCTATTTCTCTGAGGTAAGCCATCCTTCCTTCCATGCTTTGTGTGCCTCCTGTTTGTGCTAGAGTTTGACCAGGAATTCTTTGTTCATCTATGCAGGCCTTGTGGCATTTTTGCCTAACTTCCTATTCACAGGGATGAACTGTTCCTGAGCTTGGAGGAAGTGATCCTTAAATACTAACCAGCTTTCTTGAGCCCCTCTTGCCTCCAGGGCTATATTCCATGGGGCTCCTCCAGGCAGATCTTTCAGGATGCCAAAATTCACTCTCCAGAGTAGTGGGCCTGCTTTTTATCCCTCCCCTCAGGATCCAGAGCTCCACCATCTCATGCTCACTGTGGCCAAAGTTGCCTTGAACTTTACATTCCCCACAATCCCTTCATGAGTATAGGTCCAGTAAAGCATTGCTCATTATTTGTCCTTGTTGACTCCTTTATGACTTGAAAGAAGTAGCCACTGCACTCCAGAAACCTTTTGGATTGCTTATGCCCTGATGTCTTGTCCCTCCAGCAAATATCTGAATGGCTGAACTCCCACATTAGGACCAGGGCTTGCAAACACGAGGCTGCTCCAATCTAGAAAGGGACTGGGAGATTTCTCCATTTATAGTGTCTCACAGACGTTCCTTTGCTTGAATGCAAGAGCTGAAGGTGACCTCTCCTAAGACCCATCTTCTTGATTTTGTGTTCTGCTCCTGCCACATCACCTTATGCCCATTGCTTTTTTTCTGTGTTCATCAATCCCCCACAAGGCTGCTGATTACTCTCTCACTTAATTCTTAGTTTAAACCTCTGCTTATGTGGTCAGTGATCCTACTGCAAATACTAAAAATAACTTTGCCCTGCTTAGTGAGGTGCATCTCATCTCTACATGATTTACAAGCAGGGTCCCATGGTCATACAACTCAAATCCTTGTCAGCAGCACAGCTTCTGCCAACAAGTATTGACTTGTCCTGTCAGTGCCCCCTCACTGCCAGGATTGAGAAAACATCACTCAGACCCCCATGCCCATGATTCTTGCTGTTTATCTGCTACTGCTCTCCTGCTTCTTCCTATAGTTATTTTTGCCACCCAAAGCAAAAGTCAGTATGAATATTCTTTAGTCAATGCATTGGCTTTGAGTAAGCTGAACAGTGTAAATGTCACCTGTGAGTTTCGTGTCAGTATAAAAGAGCTGCTTGCACACCCACAAAACACTTCACTAGTGTGTGCTTATCAAATCCTGTAAACACAGGAGAGAAACAGTTCAAGGTAGCATGTTAAATTTTGGTGTTATGTAAGAGAATAGACAACTATCAGCAATATCATATCACATACTGTAAGCACTAATTAGTGCACTTATTTTTGCTGAAAACAGAGAATTACTACTGAAAACACAGAGTTAGTTTTAAGCCTCTTTCCAGATGGATATAAAAACAACTTTATGATAGACTATAGACATATTGAGCTGCTAGTTGTATCTACTAGTAATATACTCATTATCAGCTGTACAACTTAATCACTCTTGTTGGAGTGTATAAACAACCCTCATTTGTCTAGTTTTATTTCATTATTAAAATAATGGAAACCTCACTGCCCCTTAGAAAGTCATTGTTGCTGCCTAAACTTTAATATTTTGCATTTCTAACTTGAATTTGCTAACAGAACGTTGATAGCAGTCATTCTGTTTGTAGCTTGCATTTGCATGTGGTAACTTGATTTTTGAGATTAGAAAATATGAGGACCTGTAGTAAAAACTTACTAGGGCAGGATGGTGGCATTATTTTCTCAGACTCTGGGACCCTATGCAAATGATACTCACTTAAAAATGAATTTTTCAGTAGTCATTCATGTAAATGTTAACTCTTGCAATGACAAGTCCAAATTTCCTCCTTGTATGTAAACAATACAGTTAAGGAAAAGAAAATAGTAAGGGAGTTGCCATGCAATAATTTTCAATATGCTAACAAAACTCTACATTCCAAAATTTGTGTATTTCATCTAATTCTTGTGAAAGAACAGTTGCCAGGCTTTGGGCCAGCTTAGGAATGTTCTTGTGCAGAACTTGTTGGGGATGATAGGGAGGTGAGGTAAGGAGAAGCAGGGTTTTTTTGTGAGATCTTCATGAGCTCTCCAAGTCCAAAGCTCAAATAAAGTTTAGATATCACACAGGATATGGAAGCTGTTTCAGGGCAGCTGATCTTTATAAGTTCAATAATGCTCTCTAGAAATTAATTCCACATATTCACTACGTGCCCTTAATTATAGAGTAGGTTTAGATTAAATAGTATTAGGAAGAAAATCCTTACTGTGAGGGTGGTAAGGCACTGCAACAGGTTGCCCAGAAAAATTGTGGATGTCCTATCCATGGAAGTGCTCAAAACCAGGTTGAATGGGGCTTTGAGCAGCCTGGTGTAGTGGAAGATGTCTCTGTCCACGACAAGGGGTTTGGAACTAGATGACTTTTAAGGTCCCTTCCAACTCAACAATTCTATGATTCTAGTTCAAATATATTTCAACATTATTGCTTCTCTCCTTGCTCCTGTAAGTGAAATTCTGATTTCTTTTATAACCATTTAATTCCTTCTTGTATCAACATGGTATGCTGCCACTTATTCTTGATTTAGAAAATTTAGGTACCTGGTGGTTTGGGTTTTTTTACTATCTGTATATCTTACTAACAGGGGACATGAACTTGACATGCATTAAACAGCCTGATTTATTCAACAGTATACTTTTTCAGAAAGATTTTTATCCTGCTCTTCACATATCTCAATATTCTTCCCACCTTAGAAAACAAGTGCTCTTCTGAGCACTTAATGATAAACAGTTACCAAATTTTTTTCCCATGGTAACCTTCAAATTCAATCTAATGGAGTAATAGAAATAAATAGTTGAAATTATTAGTTTTAGTATTGCTTACCTTTTCAGTAGTAAATCTCCAGTTACTAAATGCCATTATGTCTAATGTCACTACAGCTTCTCTAGCAGCCATCAGTCTTCTCCCATTCTGAGGACGACAAATAACTTGACCTCTGTTACTTCTATCAAAATTTTACACTTTGGAACACTACACATTTATTTATAACCAATTAATTTTTATTTTAATTCAATTTTTTGGGAAGTGGTATTATGCTGATCTGATGTCCTTTTCTATTACTTCTGAAGTTTCTAATCTGTGATTACCTAGTCTTCAATTTTGTGTTCTCAGAGTTTGTCAGGGTAATTTTGAAAAAAACAGTTGTATTTTGTACCTTTCTGGTCATATTGCAAGACATTTGGCCCTTTTGTTAACGGCATAATTGTGTAACAGCTATTAATCTCCTTTCATCCAATGGGATAACATTATTTCTATACTTTAGTAAGAGCAAGGAATGGTCTTTTTGTGGCTCGCTCACTTTTTATCCTTTGTTAAAACATTAAAATATCTCTTTCCATTTGTTGTCACTTTTGTCCAAAATACCCACCTATCTCCCTGGCCCATGCCTGGGAGGAGGCGCTCCACCCTACCATGAAACTCCTCCCATACTTTTTGTGGTGAGCCGCCAGCCCCGCTGGTTTTCCTCTGACAACTTACCAGACCAGCAGAATAGAAAAACACAAAGTACAGCGGGATCTGCAGCGCTGCAGCAGCCTCAGGGAGAGCAGCTGCTCACATCTGGCTCCCTCTACCTGCCCAAGGGCTTCAACACCTCCCGAAGGGCAGAACAGCTGCAGCTGTGCTACATCAGCTGCAACAGCTTTAAGGTTAGAGTGCCCTTGTAAGGTGGGCCAACTCCTTCCCCAGGTAAAATGACAAGCTTTACAAAAGCTGGCTTCAGAACAGTTATCAAAGAAAAAGAAAAAAACACAAGAAATGAGTGAGAGAAAAACCCCAACCTTGTATTTTAGAGTGTACCACAAAGGCTGATGTAAGTAAAGGCCCATTAGACAACAAGGACAATAAAACAGCACTAAGACATAGTAATGTTTCATTTTATTTGATAGAAAGTTGCTTCAAAAATATGATTAACTATATACATTATTATATATGCTGTACATACAATTACATATACAAAATTTACATAATAGCAGATATCCTTCTGTTACATTTTATAGATGGTAGTTAATAGCATGAGATAGAACTAACATATTTCATACCTGTTTTCATCCTGATCCTATCTACAAGGAATTGTTAGGTCAGAGATGAAAAAGAAAATAAATCAATTTGTACCCGAGCCCACACAAAAGTCTTCTCCACAGTGCATTCTATTAGTGCTTTGCTCTAGAACAGTTAGATTCGTGCACTTCCCTTCAGCGGTATTTGGTTGATAATGTTATTTTCAGTTTTTTTTTTTTTTCAGTGTTCACACTAATATTATTTCTAATTTATTTCTGTAACTCAAACATCCTGAAATCATCCTTAAATCAAGCCAGATTTCTTCAACTTAATGTAATTTTGTTTTTCCAATCTGATTTGTTAGTTGCTTGTTTTGCTTGTTTGAAATAGATTCAGCTAACAGTACTCTCAGTTCTGGGAGAAGTACACTCAAACAGGAAAGTTATAATCTCAAGCGTTCTCTCCTTCCCATGTCAACACACGAGACCTGAAATCAGTCAGCAGGGAAAAAAAATCCTAGAACCATAGAATATGCTGAGTTGGAAGGGACCCATTGAGATCATCAAGTCAAACTGCTGGCCCTGTGCAGGACACCCCAAGAGTCACACCCTGTACCTGAGAGCATTGTCCAAACACTTCTTGAATTCTGCCAGCCTTGGTGCTGTAACCACTACCCTGGGGAACGTGCACCTTCCACTCCTCCTCCTAAGGCTATTATAGGGTCTGTGTGACTGCCAGCTGCTTCCTGGAAGAAGTGGTGTCAGATCTCTAGGGGAACTGCCCAGATACTGGGATTTTTCTGGTCCTAGTCCCATGAGGAATATTCTGCCTGTCCACCCTTTCTCCAAGCAAGGAGTAGCATACCAAAATCAAAACACAGGGAGTAGAAACTGGCAACTCTGCCCTTTACTAGTTGCTTCTGCTTAAGTGTCCTCTATTTCCAAACTGAAGGGACCAGGCACCCTTATTCTATGGACCTGATGGTCAGGGAAGAAGAGAAAGAGCAAGAGCTGCCAAACCAGCAGAGTACCAGCAGCAGAATCCCTGTAAGAAAATGGCTTCTATAACTAAACAGGCTCTCCTGGAGGACTCTTCCCTGAGCTACAAAGGAACATGGCTTCTTCCATTGCCTTTCCTACTTCGAGAGGTTAAAAAATAGCTGCTTCTTTCCTGTGGATATCTTCAAAGTTTCAGTTTCATTGTCCTAAGTTTTTTTGTTTTCCAAGTTAGTAGCAGCCTTAAACATATATTTTATTTCTTCTCTGCTCATGTGGCCCTGTGCTTTCTGCTCCTGTGCTGGCCACAGTCTTCATTTCACTAGGAGATCTTTCTATTTTTCTCTCCATATCACTATATTTTTTTTGCATTAGTATACAGTAGCTTTCTTTGATCAATTAAGCAGTTTTCCCTCAGCTGTCAAGGTGAAAGCAAGGTTCCTTATATATATTCTTTTGGTAGTACATTAAATAATGTTTTTTTCTAACTAAGGGGAACTCTACTTTTGTCCTTCAGTACAAGTTTTAATTATCACATAACATGCATATATCTTATAACATCTTAAATCCAAATATATTAATACACCTTCATTTTTTTTTTTTCTAGAGTATGGGATTTTCATTTGTTTGAGAAAAAAAGAGTTCTCAGGCATCTGTCTCTGTCCACTGTTGGACACTACCATATATCTAGTAAAATTTAGATATTATTTCTTTCTTATTTTATACTGCTTCTTAATCTCCATTGAGCATGTGAGCTGGAATGAAACTTCTGTTAATTCTTGTCTGAATTCCTGAGATCCTGTCCACAACCTTGGTTGGGAGAGGGCGCTGGTGAGCTGCTGGCGAGTTGAGACTCCGCCTTAGAAGAAGTGGGTTTGGGACACTCTTGCTGACCTTCTGGGGTGGGAGGTGGAGGAGTCAGGCAGCTGTCACTTTGCTGAAGTTGTGCATTAGCAGCTGGTGAATCATCATCCTTCTGGTCTTGCGTACAAGGAGGAGCAGCCAAAGAGATGATGCCCTGAGGAGCAGCTGTTGAACCACTGGTGAGACAATTTGTAACTAAGTTTGAGATATTAACATTAAATGTGCAATTAGTGCTGTTCTTAGTTTCCGTGCTGCAGAGTTTATTAGCTAGTTAAATAGTTTTCTTCACTGTTACATTGCCCTTTTCTTTGTTTCACCTCAGCTTCATGGATCTGAGATGGAAACTTGTCTGTCTCATTAGATTTGACTCCAAATTTTTTCTCTTGAATCATAGTTCTACTCTGGGGAAAGGTGGAGGAGGTGGGTAAGGAAGAAATAGCAGCAAGGGAGGAAATAAAAGCTGCAGCATCACCAGTTTTTAAAGTTATTCATTTGTGTGTATAAGGTTACTAAAGGTATTGCACAACAGAATTTTCTCTACCCCTCTCTGTATTTCATTGCTGGAAGGCGGACTGAAGGAGTAACAGTGAGATTATGTGCACTTTTAAATGGTCTTGCTTTTCTTACAGAGAATGTGTGTCATCTGAGTTAAAGGAATCACCAAGTTATCTTGATTACTTACATGGTGAGTAACTGGCTTGACAGTGAGGGAATGCTCAACAGATGGAAAAAAAAATCCATTATAAATGCATCAGTTTGAATCAGGCAATATCTGAATTGATTACAATGGATGTTGGACTGGATTTTACATAAGCACTGATCAATAACAGACATAAGGGCATTTTTAAAATATTAAAAGGGCATTTTTCAAATATTGAGTTTAATTTGGAAGGTCTATAGGCAGTATTAAATAACAATGCAGAATTGTTTTACGATAGGAAGACCTTGACTATCAAGGCTTCAGTAATACCATGTATATTAGAAGACTCGGGAATTAGCAAAATTTATGGATCCTTCTGATGAAGAAGGATCATCCTATCTGATGAAGATAAAGATTTAAAATATTTAAGATTTTAATACTTTCAAAGAAGACAAAATCTGTGGTTTTGTGCTGTTATTTTTTGTGCCTGTGTTAAGGACAAGGAAGAATACTGCAGTGAATCATTGCATACTGTATGTTACAAATACACAGGACCTTTGATTTATTAAGTCTTCTCACCTCTAGGAGAAAAGCATTAACATAATAAACTTTATTTTTGCCAGGCTGATGCATTTATTTATTGTTTATAGATGGAAAAACTTGTGTATGTGGATTTTCCTAACAGATATTCTGTAAGTATTTCTCAAGTAATAATTCACAGACCACAAGTGGTCCATGGAGTACCACCAAGTAGCTTAAAAAGGAATTTTAGAAGCCAAGCACTACTACTTTTCAAAAATTTGTCATAGCATAATCAAATATCTTGGGGTGCATCTTAGCTGTTGTTGTTCAGAGTTTTTTGTTTTGTTGTATTAATTTTTGGTTTTGTTTCTTATGAAGTGTCTTACAGTTGCAAATTTGGATTTTAAAAACATGCAGGAGATAAGTGAACCAGAAGAAGAAAAATGTTACTTCAGTACAGAAACTCTAAGTAAGGACAAATATCTTTTCTCTGTAATCCCATTTAATCTCTTGTCCTGTTTCTTGCTCATTTCTTATTGGGTTCTTGAGGAGAGGCTGAGACAGCTGGGCCTATTTAGCCTTAATAAGGCTGATCTTATCTATGTGCACTAATGTCTGATGGGACACTGTAAAGTAGATGGAGGCTCTTCTCATGGGGCCTAGTGGCAGAACCAGAGGCAATGGGCAGAAATGGAAACACAGGAGCTCCTTTCCGACCAGCAGGAAACACAGTGAGGGTGGTGGAGCAGTGGTACAGGGTGCCCAGAGAGGTGGTGGAGTCTCTGCCTTTGCACATACTCACCCAAACTGTACATGGCTCTGAGCAACCTGGTCTGGGTGACCCTGCTTGGAGCAGCAGGGGCTGGACCAGCCAACCTAGAGAGGTCCCTTCCAGCTGCACCATTCTGTGATATGTACATTTGGTATATGTGGCAACAGTACTGTGCAAATAGCTGACTTCACCAACTGTAGCCATGAGTTTGGCAATTTTATATTGGTTTCATTTGCAAGGCAAAAATACCCATAATGGGTAACATGTAAGAATTCCTATGACACAATAATTTAGACTCTTCTGGCAGTAAAGGATTGCCGGCTTAGCTCTCCTACAGTACATTTACAGATATGTACCAAAGAGGTGTGATATTCTTTGTATTCACTTGTGGGTTAATTGAGGTACAACAGGTGACATGAAAATGGAATTGACTTGTCTCTGGTGAGCCAGAGAATAAGAAAGGTAAATAATGCCAAATCTAAAATAGACATATTGAGCAAAGCAACTCCTTGTGTTTACTTCTGTTTTCCCTTCCTTTAATTTAATAGTCTTGTGCTGCTTTGTCTGGAACCAATAACTATTTTTGTGCAGTAATGTTAAGCTGGACTGCTTCCGTATTACTTTTTGTGCAAGGCTATGGAAATATTTACTGGCTTAGTACTGTGTATACCAAGTAGGTAAATATGTATTGTTATCTGAATTTTAAGATTGCTTTTAGATTTTATTATTGTGAAGTAATATGCAGAATTACAGAGTGCAGGCATTTTTTTATTTGACTTACCAAAAGCTATGTTTCTGAAAAGCACCTGAGTTAAGATCTTTGCTTAAAATTGGCTTCTTGGTGCAATTGTTCAGTTTTTGTCCCATCATTCGCCTAATTAAAGCATCATCTGTGTTTGGAAACAACTGTTTTGTGATTCCTGCAAAATAAAGAGATTATATATATATATAGAGAGAGAGAGAGAGCGCCTCCAAATCAAGGAAACAAGAGATGTGAGATAAAAAATGTATTTTTTTCATCTTTACAGTTCCAGCTACTTCAGCTTCCACTCTAGTTTACTTCACTATCTTTACAAACTCCTTCGTAGATTTTACACATGCCAGCTCTTGTTTTTCTCTGTGCCTTCCGCATTGCTGTGCCTGCTCTTGGCAGACTCCAGAGGAACTCCAGGGCCACAAGGGCTTCTGTAGTAAGTGATTTGTACTTGCTAATCCTCTGTCCTTAGGTCCTGTTCTTGATCAGAGTCCTTTTCCTATCCTCATCAGTGCTTATGACTCTGAATCTTACTTTTTTTTTTCCTCATTCATTTTCATTTGCAGGTGATGTCACTTTTTCTAAAAATTTCCCTTCTGTTTTGCCTGGCTACATTTTTTAATGCTCAAAAATAGGACTCAACATGAGCATTGTGATTCCTGCTCCCTTCTTTTCCATCATCTTCTCTCCCCTTGACTTCTCTGCCCTTTCGTTTCATTTTAAAGTCCTACAATTTCCATCTTCTTTAAATAATCTAATCTACTAACTCATTTTCTGCAGTCCTAGAACTCTCAAGCTTCCTTCTGTTTTTCCTTTTTCTCTTGTATAATGTTGACACTTTTCTGTTTAAATTCCAGAGTATTCTCTTCTACCTTAACAAAGTTCTTTGATTTCTTTACAGACTTTGTCACTGCATTATTCACAACACACTGTATTCCATGTCCTGATTACCTTCTCTGCCTCCCTCTTCAGTTTTGCTTAGGCCCTAGTAGGATTTAGAATCATAAAACCATTTAAGATGAAAAAGACCTTTATGATTGAGTTCAACCAGTTTTCTCATCCCATTAAATATTTTTCATTTTTCTCAAATGCCATTCTGAAACTGTCTCATCTTACTGCCTCTAAATATATTTTTACCATCCTACACACTCTTTCCTTTTATCTCTCTTGACTTTGAGCCTTTTTTTCTAACAAGGTTCTTAAGGGAAAAAGGTTTTTGTAATTGATAACTTTTGAAACTGATGGCTAACTTCAACAAAACTGTACAAAGGTCCAGGAACTGGAGCTAAGCTGAGAAGGGAACCAGGAGAACTGCAGAAATCCAAGGGAATGGCAATGGGGGAGGAATTATGGTACAGTAATTAGGGCTATACAGTTCTAGTATTTAGTTATAGGTGTGAATCCAATTAAAATTTGGCTTCATATGCTTACAAAATACTGTTTTCTTTAAAGTTGTTCCTTCCATCTGGAATTATTTTCTGTCCTATGCACCAAATATTTTCTGCTGTAAACCTCAGCATAAATCAAATTTTGTTTGCTTCTCTGATCACTATTTCTGTCTTCTATACAGTCTCTAGCCCCTAGCGCTATTTAAAATGTCAGCATTCATAACATTCACTAAACTTCAGAACACAGCAGACATAATTTAAAATTTGATCCAAGTGTGTCCTCTTTTTGCCTCCCCTTATCTGTTATCATCGGGCTCCAAGTTTGACTGTTGCAGGTTAACCTTGCAAGGGCTAAAAAAATTTACAATATCACTGTGCCTGAGCAGTCACCTGAATAAACCCCACAGAATTCACACAATAGAAATACTACGACTTAGCATTTCACTGGCAGTATTTTTAACAGATGGTTTAAAAAAGCATGTAGCTGAAGAAGAAAATAGGAAGCAGCTCATCACGAGTACTTAACCAGCTGTTAAGCATGACAGCCCCTCCCTCGGAGAAAGCCCCCTGTCAAGTCAGAGCCACATTGAGTAATGTTATCAAGTCATCACCTATGATTTCCTGAACTTCATTCTGATTCATAGCTGGTTTTGCCGCTTTATCCTTTGAAGAGGAGGACTTTGCACCGGTCAGGCTGTGTGTAGCCATGTATTCATGTGTATAAAGTGCTTGCATCAAGTCATTTATAAATTTTTGAGGTTTGCTCTTGTTACAAAGTGCAATCTGCCACTTTTCGATCTTGAACTGGAAAACAAAATTGGTCATAGGCATAACTATTGCAGCTTTCTAGAAATATTATATAGTACTACCATTGAAACATATTTTTCATTTTCTATTTTTAAACCACAATTTCAAAAGTAATCTCTGCAAACAGTGTTCTTGAGATAACACCACACTTGCATACCGCTCAGCGTTTGGGACTATACACACAGCTTGATTGTTTTCCAGAGGGAAGTGTGGGGCAGACTAAGGACCCCATGCATCCTAGCAAACCCTTCACCAGGCCATCCTTATTACTCACTAGTGGAGGTAGGACATGTTCAGATGTAGCAAAATCCTTCTGCTTGCGCTCCATGCAGGCTGGCTGTGGTCCAGTTCTGGCATGGTTTCTGTACTGCCTTGGTACCATGGAACTGTGCCCAAGCAAATATTCCTGCCTGTGAGCAGACATGCCCTAAGAACTGTGACATCTGGTCCTGGGTTTTCAGAGTGGCTTCTGCATGCAGCAGTGGTACAGCCTAGGAATCTGGACTCTCCTAATAGGCAATTTTCAGCTACCTCTACGAAGTAAGGCAGGTTGCTCAGAAAATTAGGTCCTTTTATTTCTTTGAAGATGTTAGGTCAAATTTTGTGGTTTGCAATATGCAGTCAAAACATACCACGAAAATTCTTAACAGACTTATTTGGATTTTAGCACTCTGTGACTACACTCAAGAATGATTTGCATGGATTAACATGACCCAATGCATAATGTTTATGTAAATTGTGAATGCAGATGCTGGAATCATTCTTTTGGTTGTGCCTTCATTTTTTTCATGTACAGCCTCTGTGCCTTAGATTTCTCAACCATGCTTTGTTATAATTGCAGAGAATAAGGGAACCTCTTTATTCAGTATCGCTGTATATATGTATTTCTACTTAACTGCCAGCCAGTGTCTGGAACAGGAGAAGAAACATAGCAGCTTCCAATTACAAATTAACAGTTTTAACAGAATGCTGGTATTCTTCTTAGATTATCTTTGAAATACTATCATTCCCCTTTGGCATCCAAACAATTAGGCTGGAAGTTATCCCTGGATCTCGGTGTTTTCTTCATGCATCCACATTCTGCCCTTAGCCACAGATATGCCAGGTCACTGAAATTAAAGTGAATTTGAGAGTGTACAGGACACTGAATAAAAGCTAATGCTTATAATAGGAAGAGCATTCTGTACAAAAGGAGCTCATTAGTCATGTTATCAATGCAATGATGACGAATTATTTTACTGATGGCTATTTTTTATATTACACTATAGCAGTAAACTTTATACTGTATAAAGTTTTATGCCTGAAATTGCCTTTTAACTGACCTGTTTTTCAGTCTGTTGCTCCTCATCTTCCACATTCAAAGTTATTGGTGAGCTGGAGTTACTATGCATAGCTGCATAGGAATCTGCTAATGGATTGTGAGATGCCTTCCAAACAGCATGTGGATGCAGACTGGACGTAGATGATGTCACTCCTCCTTTGAGCAGCGCTTCAGCCATCCCTACCAGCTCCTCAAAATGAGTGACTGCCTGCGGCAACACTGAAATCAGATGAAAAGTGAGGGGTAAAATAGTAATTGAAGCTTTCAGATGCCAATTACATAAGCAGAGATATTTTTGCAATTAGATTCCTGTCATAATGCAAAAGACTCAATCAGCAAAGACATTTCAATTTCAAAAATTACTTTTTTCCTCCTCTCTCAAATGGTTTCCTGCCATTCTGCTGTCCCCACCCATGGGGCCTCAGAAATGAGGCCACAGAAACTGGCCTCCGTTTCTAGAATATATCAGTTCATCAATATATCAATATCAATTCAGTGCAAGGCTAAGAGGAATGATTAGTTTATGTCCATCATGGCACAAAACAGATTATTTATCTTTTCTTTTTACAATCGCAAAGTCTCTACAAGTCCATAAAACTACTGAATATGGGCTAAGTGAGGTCTCATTTTTTTCCCCTCAAAGAAGTTACACAGACTGCAGAGGCTTTTCCTTTTTTCTAATCTATAGAGAATATGTTTTAAATAACTTTTCCTCAAAGTAATATTGTCAAATGTAAACTTTTATTGCATCCATTAAGAAGAGTCAATGCAGAGCAAAAGGGGTGTAGATGACATGTCAGCAAGATACAGGATCACTAAATTACAGAAAATACTGTAAAAGACTAAGATAATTGCTCAGGATGCACAGTAAATTGACTTATAGGTGTGAAAAAAGTTGTCAGACACTAAGAAATTGTTTACAAATAATATTTTAAAAGGTGGAGATGAATGATTCAAACCAAGATGAATAATGTAAGAAATACAGTCAAGTGGGAAATGAAAATGATAAACAGTTGCGAAATCATTTGGCAATAAAAAAACAGATACCAGACTGTCTAGAGATGGTATGGTGTAGCTGTAAATCCTCTTTAAACCTTATTCATTCTCTACCAGTCTGGAATTTTGAATTCAGTTTTGGCTGCCTCAGAATAAGGGACAGGGATAAGCGAGTGGTGCTTCAGAGATGATCACTAAAAGATGAAGGATTCATTTACAGTGGATAAAATATTTAATCTCTGGCAAAGAATTAAATTTGGTGCATCTGAAACTAATTCAGATTATCAGTAATGAGAAATCACCAAAATAATTAGAAATAAAGTAATTTCAGAAGAAATTAAATATCATTTGATCAAGAAAGACTGCTAATAAATAAGATCAATTGGACTGGTCAGTGAAGTATTTGAGCTTAGCCAATGGTTACACAGCATGCAGAAAGGTTCTCTTGGCAACTGCTGGCAGGATTTAGACAGATTTTTTCATTTCTAACTCTATGATTGCATGGCCTCTGTGTAAGACAGTAAGTGCTGCTGGAATTAAATGCTGCCATGTATCACAGACTTGGATGCTAATGGTAGGCCTTGATCATGTCAGGTGCTTGAGCATCCATAATTCCCATCCAAATGGCCTCTTATAAATCAAGCTTTTCCTGACCTTCAGGCTTTCCTCTTCATCAAAATACTCCCGACTTTACCTTGAAGCATCACCAGGGACTGCCTTAGGCGGCAGTTTTCTCTCATGGTATCTGTCAGCTTCCTCTTGAGACTTTTAATTTTGGCACATAGTTCTACCTTGGAGAGTTGAAATAAAGGCTCTTCATCATCACTGCTACTTTCACTATATAGAAAGTTGCTTCCTGAGTATGGTTCTCTCTGAAAAATACCCCAAATAACTGTGATATCTAGAACAACAACAACATAAAATCAAAGCATCAAAACTAACATTAAAATATCTGGTTAAATCAAAAATTTCTTATGTATAAACAGACTCAGTGCATTTTAATAAAAGCTGTTACCAAACACAGGTATTAGTATTCTTACTGAAATTAAAAAGGAAAAGTCAGTTTAAATATGTAACTGTCAGGTACCTTTGTCTCTGTTCTCTATTCACCAATTTTCAAAATTCTTTCATCTTTCAGAACTGTTAATTTCACTACGGCAAAAATCCTATGGCTCCCTCAAAAATACCTTTCAGACTGCTTTTTGTTGATAGATTAAAATTGCTGAAAATGGGTGTTTACCTGTTTGTTAATTAAAGATGTTTCAAGTTGACTCAGGATGTTGGCAGGAGTAGATGCCTGCAATGATTTCTTTCTTTTTATATGTTTCATCATCTTCCCCTGTAAAAAGTGCATAACAGTGCCTTTGCATTCCTATAGAGCCTTTTATTACAGTACTTCATAATATACCATACATTTTTATTCACTGTGCACTTCACATTCTTGATCAGTAGTTTTTAAAAATGTATTTGTAACTTTGTTCACCTTTATGTTTTCTTTGCCTGTATTTTGTCACTGCAGATCTCAGCACAAGGCACACCTCAGAAAATCTGGTCCCTCCCCCTTTTTATGCACTAGTCAGATTTCTGTCTTACAGGAGAAAATGCAATGGAGCTACAGAGCATCAAAGCCTTGAATAACATTCATCTCTTGACATAGAAAAGGACAAAATCCATTGGCCTAAGTAATTACTCTGACAGGTTATTGTGCTGAGGTACCATGTGAAGGCTGCCTGTATTCCTACCTTTACTATACATCTTTTGTGTATTATATCATGGAGACTCAGTAGTTGCAGTCTATTTCATTCCTTTATGGCCCTAACAGTATAAGGCACATAGAGAAAGAAACTCACCTTTTCTTTATCCAGGTCACTGTCCTCACTTTCTGAGAATATCATTTCTATCCTCTTTCTCTTGCCTTTTCCAAGGACTTGTATTTTTGTAATTTCATCTGCTCGTAATATCTTTTGCATCATTTCTACCAGCTCTTGGGGATCATCTGAAGTGATGGAAAGAAAAAAGGCCAAAGCACAGACAATCAGGTAACTATACCTTTAAAGCAGATTTCATATCAGACAAATATTCTGGAACTGCACTCACCACTCATGTACACAACTTTCACCAGGTGCTTTTCTGTCTTTCTTTCTCCCACAGGCCAGTTCACTAGTACATGCTCATTAGGTTTCAGAAGTCTTTCTAGTTCATTGTCGTCACAGGGAAGGTCCTGTATCCAGGAAGTCTCTCCAATTTGCAGTGAATTATCATTTACAAAATCAAACAGTGTGAATTTTTTCATCATTTAAGTGGCTTTCTTGTCACACAAACACTTCCTGTAGGACATCATAGGAAAAATAGGAGTTACTGTATCATGCCACAGGGATGTTACAAGAACACTTCAAAAGGCTCCAAACAACTCTCCTTTTGCTGGATATTGGTAATTACCTTGTATGAAAATATCCTAAGAAAATGAAAACTAGCCAAGCAGTGAGTTGTATCCCCCTTGAAAGATGTTTAACACAAATCAGACATTTGCTTCCAAAACTGTGCACAGAAGACAGCTTTCACTCACAGAGTCCTGGCTCCCATATTACTTCTGTGTTCATTCTGGCTGGGATCTCTATTACTACTACATTTGTCTCAGTAAAATTTTTAGTCCAGCCTCTGACTAAAAGATACATGTGTGATAGAACCTTTCCCTAGAATGAAGGAAAGTGCTAGTTTTACGTGCTGTTAAGTGGGATGTATGGTTATAATTTCATGGACAGGAAGACAATTGCAGCCACAGAAAACCAACCCAGAGCTACCCAGGACAACTGAGTGGATGAGGTATGACACATCCTGGCAGTGGAAAACTTGATGTACAAAAGAAATGACAGGCAAAGGACTGCAAGAGAGCTGGGCTGCTTCATGAGGAATAACAGCAACAAGGAGAACCCAAACCCAAGTATACAGTTAAATCATTTGCTTCATAAAACAATACTTTTAAAGCAACACACTATTCTGGGCTTTTTAAAGCACTTAATTTCTCTACCAGGAGAAGGGAACAAGTCATACTTTGAACTTTGTTTTGCCACTTAAGCTGATCACCTTTTATGAAAGTGTAAATTCTATGGGAAATGTAACCAGCTCTTTTAAGTGTTGCCATTGTACTCAGAGAAGATATTTTCTACTTCAAAATTAATAGATCAATACATAGAAATTTGATTTTCAAACCTGAATCTTCTTTCCAGCAAACATATGGTCAATTCATAAAGGTGAAATACTTTCTCCGAGCTGAAAACTTATGAATTCCTAGATGTGACAGTGTGATTTGCTATTGACTTGGCCTCAATCAGTCAGAAGCAAATTTAGTGCCTCATGAAGAGGCTGTCAAAAAGGTAACTCAGAGCTAGAAAATGAGAATTATGTGGGGCTATTATGTCAAAGTGAGAATATCTGGCTGCACTGCTCTATGAAGTAATGTCAATTTGTTTGCAGAAGCCCAGTTTGCCACTATTCCACATGTCTGTGCTATGCCCCAACAGAGCAGGCTTTCCATACAGGGGTAAGCTTGTTAATTTGCAAAAGACAGCTGCAGTCCTGTCAGCATGTTTACTGATACAATGGGGCAAGCAGTACAGGTAAGAAATCACCATTGAAAGGAGTATTAAGCTTTTATACAGAATGTGTTTAGTGTGATAGCAGTAGGTTTGTTAACTATTGCCTCATTGGAGAAAGAAGACTCTGTTTGCAAGAATTGACATTACTTTTCTTTAAAGCTCAGAAAACATCCATCCCATGCAAATTCTGGAAGTGGAAGCAGCCTGAATATCTCTGCCTAGCCATGACTCACCAGAGACCCCATTCTGCCACTGATCCATGCTGGATGGATCCTCATACCACAGATATGGATCATTCAAATGAACAAACATATAGACAAAAAGAACACAAAAGGATCAAAAAGTTTCAGCACTGACTTCACTATGAAGAGGAAAGGTCCAAACTGTAACTGCAAGATTTGTCTGAACAACAAAATACCAGATTTGAAACAGGTGGAATATGCAATCAGCTGGGCATCAGTATTCTTCCTTCTTTTTCAAAATGCTTTTGAATATATATTTCACTCAGATTAGCATTTCTCGTCTGGCATAAAGATGCTACTTCTGCCTCTGATCAACCCAGCACAGCAACCTCCACCACTTAGTTCTTTGCTTCCCAAATGAGGCACTTTGATACTTCCTCCCTTGGCCTTGGCAGTTGTGAGCTACTTTTTTACCCTCCTAAAAGCCCACATAAAAGCAACAGAATTGTGGCAAAGTTAGAGCTGCCAGTGTGCTAAGTCTAACAACTGACTGATTTACTTCTATGTGTTTTTTTAATGTTTCCCTGCAGTCCTCTAACAGTTTGTCTTTTGTCTCTCATTTTGTATTGAGACAAATATTCTCTGAGCCATGGGACGTTTTTGTGGTCTGAATTTGTACAGGGTTAGCAAGCCAGCCCAGGATTTCCAAAGGTACACTGAATACACAGGCTGTTCACAGCATGCAGGGCAAGCGATGATTCCCCACAACACTAGGGTTAGTCATGTACACACTGTGCCGACACCATGCACATCAATACCAAGTCCAACAGCTTTTGGAAGGTATCAGACTTATCTACATTTTTAAACAGATTAATGAAGCCAATGGGAACGTGGACTTCTGGATGAGCCCATGAGAACAGCCTGGTGCCACTGGTAGACACTGTGAAGCACATGGACAACAATATCTCACACAGTCTTTACACCAGGCAAGACCTGGATCCATAAAAATATATCCTGACACTTTAAGCTAAGGACAATTTTTACCATGCTCATGGCAGGACATGGAGCTCAGCAATTTATCTACATTATATTTGAAGTTCTTCTGAGCTGACCAGATTCTTGCCTCTGGTCAGAGGGTGTACTAACAGGTAAACCAATTTCACTAAGGGATTTAGCAGCTGCCATATTCTCTCAGCATGCTGAGAGAAGGAATGTTCCTGCTGTTTATAAAGGGACCAAGGCAGGAAAGCAGTTGAGGGGCAGCAACAGCAACTGGCCAGGACTACTACTTTTCTCTGCTGCAGCTCTACTGGACATAAGCCCAACTGCTTATGTTATGGGTAAAATAATGAAATAATTACATCGTCAAATAAAAGGAATGGAGTATAGTATGTAAGTATACAATATATACTTATATGCAATAATATATATACACACAATATATACTTACAATATGTAAGTATTTTTATGTTATGGAGCAATGCCTTCAGCTCCTGCAGTAGACATTAATCAAACTATCACTTTTCACAGAATTTACTGTGACAATCCATGGGCCCTGGGGATAACACCTAACTGTCTGCTGGCATCATCTCTAGCCAGTGATTAAAGGGAATGGAAAGGTAGAACAAACTGTCACTAATAAGGGAGAGGAATAGTGAAACACTTCACTTTCTTGGAAGTCCTGCAGTGTTTTCTCACCCTGACCTCCCACTGGAGTCAATGTGAACCTTGTCCAAGTCATCATGGCTTCAGATGCTTACCTTTAAAATCTCATTTGCCAAAACAGATCAAAAGCAAAATATGATGTGTCATCAGAAAACAAACAAAAGAAACTGGGGACTGAGATTAACCTTACCAAACTTTTATTGCCTTAAAAGGGAGAAGTTGTCTAGCCACATTTGGCTCAGTCACTGCAGAAAAGGAGGTGATTCATCTTACCCTATGACACGTGTCTGAAAGACAGCAGATGACTACTGTCTGGGAGAGCCTCTTTCTCTCTACTCAGTGACTACAGGGTTGGTGTGTCTCCTTACAGAAGCTGGCCTGGTCCCTCCCATGTTGTATTAGCTTTTCATGGGTTTGAATGGATTTTGAATAGTAGGATAGATTCCAGTAGACCAGCAGAAGCTATAGAGAGCTGAAAAGATGGCATATGAAATCCATTAAAGTGTCTCTGGTTCTCTGTTTTAAATCTTTCTAGTATAGTTCTGCAAATAATCAAGTAAGATTTCTGACACTGAATGCTTTGTTCAGTGTTCATTTGGAGGAAACATTATCATTCACAGGCATTACCCTGTGTGCAGCTACTAATGACAGAAACAATTATATGACCTTTGAAAGCCACTTACGGTTTACAAGTTACTTAATTATGCTATATGCTCCATTTGAAAACACAACTGATTTGAGTAATACTGAAACGCAGATTTATGATTTTTCATTATTCTAGGTCATTTGTAGAAGGGGAAAAAGAAAAAAGAAGGAGTCATATCATTTTAAAGTTCTGCAGAGGAAACATTAATTGGAGTCTTAATTTTTACAAACAGGTTAACACCTCACATACTGCACAAATGCTATAAATTTGTAATTTTCATATTATTACTAAGGCACACAAAAAGCCAGAACAAAACCAAACCAAAACCATGCACGAAACCCCAAGCCACCAAAAATCCACAAAGAAAACACAAATAGTGTGTTCCATTCAGCCAGAGAACTGGCAGATGGCATGCTGAGATCATTATTTCTCTTTTCTTTCAGTAAACACAGTGCAAAGTGTTACAAGTTTACAACATGATATTGCATACCCACTTGACGAGTCTGGTTCTGTTGGCTTAAAACAGGACTTGGAGACTGGTTTCAGCAAATAAAGAACTGTACCACAGATCCATAATCACAGTAAAGTTCAGGCTTACTACAGAGTTGCCTTAAGTCCATGAAGAACTGATGAGACTGGTTGAGAAAAACATGAGATGTGCCACTGCTTATCTTATACCTGACTTGAGTAAGGTATAAGGACTGAATGATGCCTGGGTGAAGTGGAAGTCTCAGAGAAACCCCAGAGAGAACCTGCACCTCTCTACCAGCCACTGTGCATAACCAGCCTTGTTATAAATGTGGTCCTTTAAGGATACAAGGATGTACTCCAAGACTTTCTAGTGAAGGTCAGACAGCCTTTACTGCCACTTCAGCAGGTGAAAGAGGACCAAAGTGTTTATTCTACCTTTGGTATCAACTATAAATTCTGAGAGAAAATAACCAAGACCCTCATTAAGCCCTATTTTCATATTAACTTTTGCATCCTAAGAATGCAAATTAAGAGAAGTGAAAACACACCTTACATGTACAATCATAACCATCAAAACCCCACTATAACATAAAGGAAGGGCGATTTTGGGGCAAAGAAGAAAATGAGAGAGAGGGGGAAGCACCTCTGCCTACTTGGGATTGGTTGATGGACTGTCCTCTTCCCCTGGAAGGATCCCATAGAAGGGATGCCTCTAAGTGAGCTTTGTGCCTCCAGTGCATTGTAAAGACTCGTGAATATTTTTATAT